TATATATATATATATATATATATATATTATTTTGTTTATTACTATAAAAGTAATTAAAATGTAAAAATTAAACTCTTATTAGGTTAGGTAAAGTTAGAATAGGTAAGATAATGAAAAAATAATAATAAAAAGTTTTCATAAAGGTCTGATTTCAAGCAGCTTTTGCTTCACATGATTCAGTATGGTAATGTGAGCTACATGTTTGCCTAGTGATTTACAACTTGTGTGGTGGAATTATTCATTATACATGTTTCAAAGGGTAATAAAACAGTAAAATTAGGTATGAACAGATGTAGACAATTGCAAGCTTAAATTTTAGGATACAAAAAAATGTAGTTTCCTGTTACAATCTGCAGTCATTCTAGAAAGAAAAAGGGTTACTTAGATTTGTTTCAACTGAGTCTGTATAGAGTTAGGGTAGAGAAAAGAACAAGATAAATATAAAGTTTTTTACTGAAAAAAACTGTTTAATATTTATTTAGGAGGTTTTAGAGGTTATGCAAATGAAACTTGAAATATTTTGGAGGAAGAAAGTATTTTTAATCTTAACATGAAAATCACTACACTTGGAACAGTCAAAATACACCGAGTCCATATATTCACAGACAAATCTTTGGTAAAAAAAATAGTTAATATAAAAATTATTTTTTGTGTACAAAGACCTATAATGTTTTCTGAAAGCTTGCCAAATTTCATGAAGATACACAAAACATATTAAAAGTTATAGTTTGTAAACTGATTTTTTTTTTTTTTGTTTACAAAGTCGGTTATATCGACCGGACCGATATGGAAAGTGTTAAAGGTCAGAAATATGAGCAACCCGTGTTGAATTTTGCTATCTTCAAATGGAGTGTAACAAAAATTAATACAGTGTACTATCTTTAAATTTGATTTCGTATAAATTAGCTAAGATGTGCCAATGTCAAGATTAAAGATTACTGCCATAAGTGGGGGCAAGGGCCACCCACCTCCACCTCTTTTGAGGTGTAGCATTCAACCATTTGTTCCAGCACAAGAATACCTGTGTCATGACTGTCATGTCACTTTTGTTTGGTGTTGACTTTGTGTATTTTGTTAATGATGTTCTAACTCAATTCATTTATTTTCAGCATTAAGATGGTAAAATCTGATTGGCTTTTTAATTTGAGCCATAAACATTATTGATTATCTGATAAAGCTGATAGTTGATACAGATCTGGTGGCTTCTTTCAAACATTGAAAAAAAAAAAAGGGGGTTTCTAAAACTTTGATTGTGTTACTACAGTTTACAGTGGAATGTTGATAATTGGGGATATATATATATATATATATATATTACAGGCAGAATGGAGAGAAATGAACTGTTACAGGATGTGGCCAAAATAAGTAAGGAGATAGAAAATGAAAAGTAAGTTTTGTTATTGTTTAATACTTATTGAGTACAAATTACTGATCAGGGTGTACCAGTACTAAAGAATTTTTTTCATTAAGGAATTAGAGAGGAGTAAATATGGTACAGGTGCTAATTTTTGAGAGTACTGTGTGTTTCTGATTGAAGTCTGGAAAAAACATGGTAATCATATTTATGAATACTAGCAGAAATGGCACCCTATGGGCAGTTGTTTGTGCTAGTAATTATTAATTGTATTATTCATACCTCATCGAAAAAAATTTAGAAAAAGTGAACATTTTTTAAAAAAGGATTTTTTTTCTGCATGGGAAAAGTGTTTGGAGCTCTGTACAGTGAATCATTTTGATGCAATAAGTTGCATATGAGTAAAGAGCACAATCAAGTTTACATAAATTTCACTTATATAAACTGTAATGTTTTTATATATTAAAAGTGGTACCGTTTATTGAAAACATAATATATTTTTTAAGAACTCTATTTTTGCAGTACTACATTTAAAAATTACATCAATAAGAATATAATCAAACTGTTACGTACAGTCCTAGTGAAAGTCGTATTCTTGTTGTGAAGAGAATACTTTTATTTAAAATTATGTTCTGTTATAAAGAAATGGTTGTTTCACATACTGCAGTTATTTTTCTAATTGTCTGAATCTTGAATATCCAAATTGTGAAATGTTTGTATGGATTTTTGTTTGCGGTGCCATTCAATAGATGGTGCAGGAGTTTTGGTCACATACATAGATACTGATTCGATATTTGGTTTTCTCTTTTGGGTTCAGTTTAATAATTGGTATGATCATAAGATTTTTTTTTTTCAATGAAAAGTTTATATAATTCCAGTTATTATCCATGCACCAGTATATCTGATTTGAACATCAAGTTTTAATATTTAACAGAGCCCTTATATAAAAACAGAAATTTGAGTTATTTGAAAGGGTTCATAGAAGAAATACCACGATGGTTCCAAATTTGTAGTGTCGATCATATGCAGATGGTGTGTGTGTGTATGTGTATAATTGAAAGTTTTAAGATTGTTAAAAGTTTGTAATTCATAAATACAGATGATGTTTGCAGGCTTTAAGACTAGAGAGCACAAACTTAAGATGGCTCTAGTTATTTAAAGACAATGGTACTTTTCTCATAGAGTAATTGATTTGTGGAATTGTTTTTCTTCAAGTATGAAAGTTTTAATTGGGGATTGAACGAGTTTATTTTTAGAGATCAGGGTTGGGTTTAAAAAAATGGGGTTTCTTTATATAGTTTGGAATAGGATGGTGGTAGATAACAGGATAGCCTAGCTGGGCCAGATGTCCCCGTGTTATCCATTGGAAATAAAATAACATATATATACTGATGACCTGGATTTGGAATTGGATTTTTTTACTATTTTATATACATAAATAGTGACATGTGATTAAGTAGGTGTAAAGATTAGTATTATTGATGCTACTCCTAATAGTTTTTTGCATTTTAACTTCTCTTGCTCACCTTTTATGCATTTTGGTTTAATTGTCATCAAATGTGATTTTCGTGATGTACAAAGATTGTTGTAACTTCTTCTTATTTTGTTTTAGATACCAAAGATGGAATTTGCAGAATTCTGAAATGTTTACCTTCTTAAATAAATATTGTTTTTCATCATGAGTGTTGTAATCCTTTTTATTGTCAGACATTTACCTTCAAACACATTGATTGATAATGCAAGTGTTAATAACTTTGGGACACTTTGTTCTTTAAGTCTGAGCAAAAAAGTATTTTAGGTGCACTTATAAAATAAAGCACTTCAAATTAACCCATGTTTAGGTTTTTTTCAATCCAAATCTCAGACAAATCGTCAGGGTAATTAGTGCTTGTGATTTTGAAGAAGTATTAGTGATCTGTACAGTTTTTCCTTCTGGTTTTCTAGGAAAAATAGTTTTCATCTTCAGGATACCATACAAACAATAATTGATGAGTATGAAGATACATTAAATAATATGAAGAATGCAGAGGTAATGTTGTATTCACAAATATTTCTTGACAAGAAATATAGTTTGTTTTTGTTTATGAATAAAAGTAGTAGCACTTCTGTCAAAATGTTTTAAAACAAAGTAATGTTATGTTATGGATTTCGTCCCTAATTTAGCAGTGTAAGAGTAGAGGGAAAGCAGCTAGTCATCACCACCCACCGCTAACTCTTGGGTAGTTTGTAGAGGGTGGTTGTTGACTAGCTGTCTTTCCTTTAGTCTATCACTGCTAAATTAGGGACAACTAGAGCAGATAACCCTTGTCTAGCTTTGCACAATATTCAAAACAAACTAAATCATTCTTATTTTTTTGCTCCAGTTTAAATTTTTATTTTAGGCTGGCATTCTTTTTTTTATAGCAGTTAGGGTAGGTATATTTTAATATTAATTACTAAGCCACAAGTTATTTCGTAACTCAGACCTGCTTTGTCTATGAAAAGCATACGTGAAGACTTGTTAAAAGTGAATTAACAATATTCTTACTAAACCCTATCTTATGACTTGGAGACTTATTTAAAACTACTGAATGACTTAAAATAATTTAAGCTTCAAAGGTGGTTATCATAGTGTTGGAAAATTGTACTTTTTTTTTCTTCTTCAAAATGACCTTCCAGTTGCACACTTCCACAGGTTGTCCTTAAGCTGTTTCCTTGAACATATAAGGAATAATTACTGTTTCTTCTTTGTGCAGTTTGATGTCACTCACATTTGAAAATGTTAGATTTGATCTGCTAATTATGAGAAATTAGGTTGATAACAATATTACCCGTCATAACACTAAAGCGTTTTATAATTTAATACCAAATATATTTACTGTATTAATCAATACTAGTGTGGTTATTAATTTTTTTTTTTAATTGAACATACAATATTTTTTCAGAGGAGTCTTATTGAATTTAAAATAGCTGAAGTAAATCGTCAAATGAAGAAAGCCAAATCTGTAGCCCTGAAAATTCTGGATGAGTTGAAAGCAGCAGGAGCAAAGTATGTTTGTGTTTAAAGGTTGGAATTACTAAATTAGGTCCATTATATTGAAACCCTTGAAGTATAATTTAATTTAATCATGTTATTATTAACTGTATTCTGATAAAATCTGTTTATATTGAAGTGAAAATATTTCAATGCTTTTCTTAGGAGCATTGTTGATAGATCAGCTAAACCTTAGTTTCATTCAGAGATATTTAAACCTAACCATAGTGTGCTTCCAAGAATGAGTATCTATTATTAGTGATGTAAATTTAGTTGGAATAGTGTAGACAGATCAGCTAAGGCTTGATTGTTGTTAAGAAATATTTAAGCCTAAGGCCATGCTTAAAAAATAATGTTAGGTAACCCATGCCTGACCCTGGTCAAGAAAGTTGGGTAGGCAGGCAGGCAGGCGTTTTTTTATTTTATTTAAGTACTATCCATTGTGTTTTTTTTTTTCTGGATAACATGTACAGAAGTAAGACTTAGCACAAGGAAAACAAAAACTGAATACAATCAAACACTTGTAAATTTTAATACACAACTGTTCCATCTTTTTAAACCACACATTAAACAATGATTCTAGAAATATCAAGAGCACACAACTTTCAACAATATCTTGCCAACAGTATACTGCTTGGAGCAGAGGAATAGTCTGTAATAATCAAGACATGTTTCGATACAACTTGGTTTTCTTTGTATGCAAGTCCTAAACTCTTAGTTGCATTACGTTGATGCCTACCCTGACATGACCATGATATTATGATAAACAAACTGCACATCAATAGTCAGGAGTATATAACGTCCAACTGCAGTAATATTAAAGTCAAGTATGCATTTTACAGTGTAACATTAAATTTTAGTGTTGAAAGTTATGTAGGTATGACTTATATATAGCTGTATCATCCATATATTCTTGTTTGTATAATTTTTTGCACTGTCATTATTTACAAAATGTTTTTTATTACTTTTACATAATATAGGGGTTAGCTTCTTAATAACACCGGTTGTATAGTGTACAAAGCACCGAGTATTCTACATGTTACAGTCATCTGTCATTGGCTGATAATTCCTATTTCACTCTGAAACTAAGCTTTTCAAAGGAATACTAGATTTCTGTCAGAAAGCTAACACTAGAATTAGGATTTTTTTATAATTACTACTAGTTATTAGGACTAAGTGATAACATTGTGTGCTGCCCAGAAACACATAGAGTGAATTTGATATAAATTTATGTTAGTGATATAGTAGTTGTAGAGTTATCTCAACTGAAACAAGAAGAAGAAGAATGATGAACAATTTGGTGGGTTAGTCACTTTCTGGTTTGGTATCTTAGTAACGGTTTCTTGCCCTGTTGGCTAGAGAAACAAATTAAAGTGATTGGCAGTCATCTTTTAATGTAAAACTCTGTCATTGTTCTTTTTTAGCATGCATATTTGTATTATGCCTATTGAGTACCATGGCCATCTCTACATATACAGTCTGATGACTCTATGACATTAAAATATAGGTCAGAACAATATGAAAAAAAAAATACCATATGCCAAAATAATGAGCAAGTTAACTTTTTCTAAATTGTTAATCAAAGGGTTTCATTTAATAAATGTAATACTTTTAAACCCATTTTATATTCATATATATATATATGTAAATATATATATATTTTTAGCTTTCTTTTTGGTAGTTTTTTTTAATCCATTTAAGCAATTACTTAGACTGATAAGGCTTAATATAAATATGTAAACAATGGCTAACTCAGTAACCTTTTTAGAAAAACAAAACTTGATGCAGTCAAGTTTAAAATGACTTAACTAAGTCTGTCTCATATTCTTCCATAAAAAAAAAGAAAACATTTCTTTTAATACTGCAACATTATAATTGATCAAATGATGTATAAAATGATGAAGCAAACGTTTTAGAAGCTTTAATAAAAAAATCAAGACTGTAATTGTGGCAAAATTTGTTCGTAAGCATCTTCTATTAACATATCATCAAACTAAGCTTTTAATACCTTGTTTCCTTGGAAAACTGTAGACCTACCTATAAATACAAATACACATTTGAATAGAAAATAGCTAAATTGTTTTGTTCTATAAAAGTGTAAACTTAGTAATCTCAAACTACTTAAATCATTTGTCTTGTTACTCTGTACGTTTCAGCACAAAATATTACCCTTGCATGAATGTTGATTGTGAGCATATGACTCGTACTGTATTTCGTTTCTGTATAAATTGAAGCTGATCTGTGAATTCCGAAAATGCTTAAACGATTACACTATTTTTTATATTTCTAATCAGTAGTAAATAAATTCCTACAATTTTTAAAATGGCATATATATATATATATATATATTCAAATAATAACGTATGCTACTTGTAGATACATTAACTTGTATGTTTGTTTCAAATGAGTTGCTATTCAGAAATACTTAAGCCTTCTATACATGTCCTTGCAAGAGTATTTGTTACTTACTATTACTGATGTTAGTTTAAGCAAACTTAGAAAATACTTTTTCAAGATATTTTAATCAAAAGAAAAGTTTCATAATTTGCTGTTTTAATATATAATTAGATTATTAGTAGAGTAATTGAATGTAGACAAGGTATTCAAATATATATAAGTGTGTTTTTAACTGTTAAAATAGACATATAATCTATACCAAGTCTATACATACATTACAGTCAAGCTACTGAAAGATGCTGTGATATTACACATGCATGTTTAGTTTTTCAAAAAAAAAACTGTTCATCAGAGGGTGTTTTACCTTGTAAAAGGGTCATTCTCAGTTGCTAAGGGATATGTGTGCAAAGTTTTAGCATTCAATAACTAAAAGTTTGACTGCTAGAACTTGAACTGACAAATGTAGAGACTATGAAGTGCTTGATTGCTGTTTGATTGCTTATACACGGGTGAGTTATTAAATGTATCGGCAACTCTTATAACAGTTATACCTTCAGCATTTAATTCAGCATGAAGTTTGATTTTACCTGCACATTATTTTAAATAATATTAAATTTTGAAAGGACATTTTTTTTTTCACATACAAGCTGTTTCATGCAGTTATAGTTGAAACTTCTCAGTCCCTTACTTGTTAAAAGTTTTGTTTTGTAAGAACAGAATCAAATGAGTATACATCAGTTGTCATGTGCCAGTTACGTCATGTTATACTGAAAAGCACAGTGTTCTTGATTTCATTGGTTAGTTTTGGATTAATGATCCAGTTCTCTTATTGTAGGCCTAGTGTTTAGGGTCCTCAACTTACAGGTTGCAGGTTCAAATCCCATTACTGAACATGTTCGCCCTCTCAGCAGTGGAGGCATTATAATGAGACAGTCAATCACACTTTGTAATGGTAAAGAGTAACCCAATAGTTGGTGGTGTCTTCACTCTAATCTATCAATTCTAGATTAGGGACAGCTATTACAGATAGCCCTCAAGTAGCTTTGTGCAAAAATTCAATAAAATGAACAAACTTTTATCATACTTTACATACATATTTGCAACATGATGAGTGCATATGTATTTCCGTATTGTGAATACAAATATATATATACACAAAAACATACAGGGTTCCTGGAAACTTGCAAATTTATTAACTCTTTCAACATGGGCTCGGTCTGTGGGACTGACCTCGTAACCATTTTGTGCTTGTTAAGAGTTTTCATGCTATAACTTTGAATTAGTAAGCATGGGTTCACGGAATTTGGAAGGTTATCAGCAGACATTACAGGGCTTTCATATGCAAAATATCAGATTTTTTAAAATTAATTTTTCATATTTTTTAATTAATGTTTTTCTCATGCCTTTTTTCTTTTTTGCATGTTGACTATCCAACATGCAAAATAATTTTGATTTTAAGATTAAAAATACTTTAATGCATCAGAAAATTTTAAAATCTCACGTGCGATATTTTTATAACCTTCAGATAATTATCAAACATTTTTTAAGAAAAAACTTTATATTTTATCTGTTATTTTCACTTTCAAATCTCTGTACTGGTTTGATAGATTTGACTGATCTTGTAACCACCACAAAAAATTTGGAAATGAATATAGATTATACTTTTTTCATTCTAGAATGACTACAAATTATAACATTAAAACACAGATGTTTAGTCAAAATAGCTTAAATCTCATAACATTATTCATTTATATATATTTATTATACTGACCTTTCAGCTGTTCCTGGCTAACAATACAGAAGTTACAATGACATGACACACGTGCACTCATGTTACCATAACCAAGAATATAACACTGACCTTTACAAAGTGACCTGTCTTGGCTGTGTTTTAGTGGACTAGTATTTTGTAAAATACAGTTACATTTCAGTTATAATACATTACATATGTATATATGTTATTACTATTTACAAATAAGTTCTTAAACTTATTTTTCTTAAAATGTAGAACAGTAAATAAATAAGTATAGCAAACAGTTATATCGTTTAGTTACAAACTTTGTACTTGTTTGCTGCTTGCTGTAAGTTGCTAAGCCTTATCAAAATTCGCACGTGGAGGATGTGAAACGAAATAATTTTTTTAAATTTTATATATATATATATATGTTTTAAAATAACTAAAAATCATAAATTACTATGTCAGTACCATAGAATTACACTATAATTTATCAAATGTAGTAACTAAACTGTATATGGGTCTAAACGAATATGAAATTTCAAGCTCACTAAAAGTTAATGCATGAATAATTCAGTTGTGCTGAGAAAGCCACTAAGGGGACATTCTAAGCTTTCAATTGGTTATTCACATGTTGTAGACAGAAGCAAGTGTATGTAAGCATGTCTTTCCAAAAATGGAAAGACTGTGTTTGATACAGTACATATAGCAATATCTCAGCAAATAGAAAAGATAAGAGATTCTTATTTTATATTATAGCTTGTCAATATCGCTAATTTGAGTTCCTAATTCGTACAAAACTATAGACTTTGTATGTATTTGGACATCACAAACATCTAATTTGAACAAAAGCTGCATTCAACATACCACTTGACACACAAAAATCATTATTTAGGAATTTCTTTTTAATATTTAATTTTAAACTAAAAAAATTAAATAATGTATAATACTAAAATTTGAATTATAATCTGCAATTTTATACCAAACTTATTGACATAAATTCATAAAATAGTAGTTCATTAAAATTTTGAATGTGAGTCAACAAACGTGATGATGTGGCCTTTAACCCGTTAACTGTGTGCATAGGGTTAAGTAAACATTAACTCTTGTTTGTCCCATGTCTTGCTACCATGGTATTTCATACACATTGCAGTGTACTTCTGTTTATCTGGTGGAATTCTAGTAATGACTGGATCAGAGGGTCAAAGCTCTTGAAACACTATCTTGTTAAGATAATTTCCAGACAGCTGTATTTGTGTATGACCAGCTGTGTGATAGGTTTATTTCTTCTCAAATGATTGATAGGATCTCAACGGAGAAAACAAGCAAGCATTATAGAGTTAATTGAAATATTTTGCTCTATTTTCAACCAAAGAATCTTATTAAACAAGATAGTGTGTGGGGAGGAGTATACATAAGCATTAAGTTAAAAGTATCTCTGTCTCTCTCTCTCTCTTTAGTAATCCACTGATTGCATCTCCATCTAGTCTGGCTGTGAAACAAGTGGAACATTACATTCTTGTTCTCAAACAGAGTGAAGCCTCCTTTCGGGTAAGCTCCTCTACCCTGTAGCATTTGTTCAAAAGGTAGTGGCCCAGTACATTGATTGTTGTATGATATTTTTATAATAACTTTATTCTGCGGCAAGTATAAGATAACGTTAAGACAAACTATGAACATATGCTGATGACACAGTAATCAAGGATTAATTATTTCATTCAGAGATGGTATTATTAGAATAGAAGTGTATCTTTTATTTTAGTAAAGGACATCTTGGTAAATTTGCCAGATATTCTCTGTGTTTCTTAAGTAGATTGAAGTAGAAGAGTTGAAAGTATTCAGAAATTTTTTAAACTCACTAGAAAATTTTAAATGCTATATATCTTGGGTGTGAATTGGAGTTACCCAGAAGTTCTATTGTGTGTTGTTTTTGTTTTTTTTTCATTGAGGAGAAACAAAATGTTGCCATGCGGTCAGTTTAATAACATCTTCTATGAAAATGCCTTAATCATGTAGTCTTTCATTCGTGACTTCACATTTTGCATTGTGATCTCTGATATTGAGGTATAATGTTGAGCTTTAAACACACATTAATACACTTTAAGAGATACAAGAATACTTGTCAAATATAAAATATTGTGAAACCCAGACATCCTACTGATGTCACTAAGCAAGTTGATTCACAGAAAACTTTAGGCTTAGCTAATGTAAGTTTGTCTTGAATCAGAGTAAAGCATTTGTATGAAAAGAAATTATTAGAGCAAGGTTTGGACAAGTGATTAGCATGCTGGACTATGGATCTGCAGCTACATGTTCATTGTTCACATTCTGTTAACACCAAAAACAAATCCCACTTTGCACTTTCGGGCTTTGGGTGCATTATAAAAGTAAAGATCATATCGCACTATTCAGTCAGACAAAAATTGGCCTTACATCTAATCTATATATATATAAAGTACAAACTTTATATATTTCTATATCTGCTTTCATAATTTTTAGTTTTTCTTTTAATTTTATAAGGTCTCCAAATCAACCCACCTGGAGTCGAGAGTTAAACTGTGGCATCACAACAATGCTTGAGTTAGAATTTTTTTTTATTGTGAGTACTTGATAAATAAGATATATTTGTCCTTAGTCTGAGTATATCACCTTTTATATAACTGTATATATTTTTTAATGTTTGCGTATGTTCCATCAGCAAATGGCAGACGAACAACTTGAAGGACTTTCTGCTGGTAAACATGTGAAAGATTTCCCTGAACTTAATCTTCCAGACATTCCTGACCTTCCTGTATTACAAGTATTGCAAGGAACCACTGTAAGTATTTATGTTGAAGACAACTTTTAAGAAACTCTGCAAAATTTTTCCTGGTTAACTTATAGAATTTTTTTTCTTGAACAAATTACAGGAATAAAAGTAACATATTATGTTTTTTGAACAGTTTGCATTTTAAAATTTTTTAGAAGTTGTGCCTTAAGCTATATTATAGTAATTTGTCCAAGTCAGTCCTTTCAAAATTTCATATTAACACTGCACTACTTGCTTTCCAGAATCATGTTATATAGTTATAGATATTTTTATACATAGCTGAAAACTATATGTCGTGTATTAATGATGATATCCACTTCTCCAGTCGTACAATTATAGTGACACAGGGTTTACATGAATTCTAATCTGTACTTTTACAAGGGATCATCTGAAAATTATGGTAAAGCATGTAAAGTAGTTACCCAGCAAAGTCCACCCAGAAGTTCTTTGAGTTTTCTGAAATCATAGGTTGTTTTTTTTTTCACTTCCTGTGAGGTTTTTAAGATTAACAAATCCTAAGAAAAGAGTTTTAAAAAGATAATTAGTTTGGCGTTAATGAAAATATTTCTTTGATACATAGCTTAAATAATTTTTTGAACTGATTTTTTCAAAATAGCATATTTTCATTAAGGATGATATTTAATGCATTATTTAATATTATATGATAGTTTTCACTGCAGAGCTATATAAAAATCTGATTAAATCCTTTAAATGTTTATGATTTTTGTGCAGATTGATATGATCATATTGTGAGTGTAGGTTAAATAAAATATCATTAAAATATGTCATTATTATCAATACTATTCCACAAGCAAATGAGAGAGACTACAGTAGATCGGGGGAATAATTATATTTACTTGGGGATTCATAATACTTCTGAGAATGAATCTTGACTTGATATTAGTAATAAACATGATCGAAATGTAATTTATATTTTTTGTAGTCATAAATAACGTTGTCTTTCTATTTTGAAGACTGGAGAAATTTGAAAAAAGCGACTTTTTTTCTACATGCCATATTTGTACTCACCATCAAATAATACGTAGCACACTCTGCAGGAATTAATAAGCACTCAAATAAGTCTGATACTGGAAGTGTTATAAATAGCTTTTGTACCTGATGAATTTAAATTTTGATAATATTTCTTTTTATAACTTCTCCACTTGTAGCCTGTACCTACATTGATAATAGATGGGTACATGTATTGAGTACCAGCCCATTTTGCATTCTCTAAACACGAATAGAAGAAATCTCAACAGTTTCTTCGGATGATACGTATTTTGCAGATGAGAGTTATTGGTGTTTGAAACTTTTATTTCATTATGTGTGTGACTTACTGACTGTACCAGAACTTATGGTAAAATTTGTGCTGTTTGACGGTTTTTCATTTTTTCTGACTTAAAAATCTGGAAATATTTAATTTGTCTGTGTACTTGTTTTTATTATCAAAGTATGTTTTTATTTTAGACACGTTTTCACAATTTGTTTTTAGCCTGTCATTTTTAAACAATATGGAAGGGGAATTTCCTTTCCCCTTACTTGCAAACCATTGCAAGCTTCTTCATTTCTACAAGTAACCCACTCTTGTCTACTCAGATGACTGAAGCTTCGACTGTAAAGTCAGGGCTGTCTGTCAAAGGTACAGCCTCACCTCCACAAGAATTGTCAGACTTTGTCAAACCTATAATGGTGCCTACACAAGCTGGTGCTCTTAAATCAGAGAACTTGGCCAAAAATATTGTGGTTCAGAATGGCAAGAGTCCTCTGAAGGCAAAAAAAGAAAGTATGAGAGGTAAAAAAAAAATCTGTTCATATGTGTGTGTAACATAACTATAAAACTGAAATTATACGAGGCTCTGTTTTTTGAAATCATTTCTGGAAAATCAAATCTATTTCAAAAATTAGCTTGCGCTGTAGACTGATCATGATAAAACTAAATTAAAGTATTACTCTTATCTGCAAAATTAAATATTGTGGGAATTCTTGTAAGATGAGTCTACAAATCCATATTCTTAATATTTTCAGTAGCTATTAAAACTGTTGATGGTTTCCTTGTGTCAAAATTTATTATAATTGTGTTACAGTATTAGATTTGTTAGGATATGCAGTTTGTCGAGAAAATAACCAGGTAAGGTGTTTTATTTTTTAACAGACTTAGATCCCATAGAGTTACCTAAGGGAAACCACCTGCAGACACACGTGAGAACGAGAAGTACTTCACGAGAGTTAAAAACAGAAATGTACATTAATTCCCAGTTAGCTGCACCGCAGGTCAGTTCTAGTCAACCAGACCTGGATTATTAACTTTGCTTTATGTTGCAAATTAAGCAAGATTTTTTGTAAATTTAAACCAGAGTGTTGATTCTACCTGATGGAAATAACTCGCATACTGGATGTTATTTCCATTTTATTATAATGTTTGAAGTAGAAATGTAACATAAATAGCTTTCCGTTTAGATTTGTCCCAAATCGAAAAGAGCCCACAAACATGAGAAGCATTGTATTAACTAATATAAAAAATTAGTTTGGAGAGAATCAGTGTATTGTCTTTACTGCAAGAGTTTCAGCTATGATTTTAATGTAGTAAATAAAGCTAATCCTTTTTTTATACCAAGTTAAAATAGTGTATTTTGAATTATATCAGAAACATGAAAGACAAAAAATTTTGTTTCCTCTCCCATTAACTGTTTTTTTCTTATTCTACTGCTTTCTTGGTAGGTTTTTAATATTGATCTGTTCATTTTGAATTAATTTTCTGTCTGTTTAACTCTTCAGAGATCAGACATGGTATTTTAATGTTAAAAATGTTTGTTAAGCTCTACCTTGAATTGTATGGGCTGTGTTATTTTACACACACATTTTAAAGTATGGTTAAATTGGTGTACACTTCTCTGTAATAATTTATTTTGTTTAACACCCAGCTCACGACTCAACCAGACCAAAATTGTAAGTTTTGGGGGCAAAAAATAGTCTATACTCATATTGGGAATTTTTTTTTCCAAAAAAAAATGACTCAAGTCCGAAAAGGGGAATGATCTGAAAACCTCAAATCTACATAGTTTCCGTGATACAACATCTCGTGCTCGTAATAACAGGTGGCAAGTAGGTGAAATCTGGAAGGGGGTGATCATCTTTCCCGTGTCAATCACTCATAGTGTATATTAGGGACTGTTGTGTGATTGGTGCCCCATTCAATGTCTCATTATGGTTGGGTGATAAGAAAAATAAAAAAAATGATGATTGGAAAAAGTGTGGGGACTTGTCCAGTCTTCCTCTCCTTCTTCTGCTACAGTATTATGGAGTATTAACTGTTCTAGTTCTGTCTCATTGTCTGTGAGGCACTAAAAAACACATCTTCAACAAGTGCAACTGCATTGTATTGCGATTCTCATTATCTATGCGAGTAATATGGGTCTTTGATATCCTCTCAGAATTCGTGGATGATTTTCCTGCTGTACATTTGGTCTCATGCATGGTCGAGTTGCCCACCCACTTGAGAACGAAAAAAGCAAGCTTGTAGTCATTTGGGACAGAGCTATACATGTTCTCATTCCTGACCTCAACAATGTTCAGTTTCCTAGACTGCCACACAAATAGAGCTCTCTTAATAGCATAGCATTGGACATCATGTGACTCAACTTCATTCTTCTCATCAGCATCAGACAAATTACATTGTGCTTTCCGCCTATGCTGTGCCTGTGTCAGAATGCTCACACCAGTCAGTAGTACAAAAAAAAACTAAGATCTTACCTGACCTCTGTCACAACTACTTTCATCATCTGTTGACTCTTGATCTTCTGTGTCGACGATGCATTACTTCACCTTCACCGACTTCTCCCTGGGGTGCTTCCGAATTAGGATGCATTCATTATATCCCAGACTAACATCCACGTGAATCTCGGGTCCAATGCTCAAATAAGCTTCTCAGAAGTATAGAATTTGTAAGACCTTTACTAGCTTGAAAGGTGAGTAAAAGTGGGATTTTTTTTTTGGGGGGGGGGGTTGAAGGTAGTGGATAGTCGTAAAACAGTGTAGAATGAGAATAATGAAAATTGGATATGCTTGTTTGATTCTGGAGGGGCTTTTTCCAAAACTTTTCTCCCCCAAAATGTCTGGTTAATTTGGACATTGTGTGTTAAATTACAAGTTTATTTGTGTTTTTACACCTCTGTAAAATATGATTAGATATTTTACTATAAATAAGGACAAAGTAATGAGAATGTCAGTTTCATTTAGGGAGTTGTAACTTTTGTTTTTATCAGCCCACAGATTCAAAGTCCAAAAAACCATATGACAAGCTGTTGGAAAAACTAAACACGAAATATCCACAAATCAGCCAGTAAGTTCTGTAAAGTGATAGTTAAAAAAAGTAAAAATTTAGTGTGTAAATGCTAGGTATCACTTAAAGAGTTGTGATTTTCACAAGAATCTCATAAAGTGGTAATGTTGGAGGTTAGCTACATAAGTGCCATGTTTCTCCCATTTCAAGTGTGTAAATGCTAGGTATCACTTAAAGAGTTGTGATTTTCACAAGACTCTCATAAAGTGGTAATGTTGGAGGTTAGCTATAAAGTGCCATGTTTCTCACATTTCAAGTGTGTAAATGCTAGCTATCACTTAAAGAGTTGTGATTTTCACAAGAATCTCATAAAGTGGTAATGTTGGAGGTTAGCTACATAAGTGCCATGTTTCTCCCATTTCAAGTATCCTGAGTTTATGATGCAAGGCCTGTGGTGTTCAGTATAATTAAGAATGATGTAAAAATGTTTAATGATTCTCTTTACTGCTACACACACTTGCAGTTTACCAGCAGTAACAAAAAATTGTTTTAAGAAGCGATATCCGAGACTGAATGGAATTTGATCCAACGACTCTATACGTTTTGCGTTTGAATCCCACTCACTGTCAATTTTCACTTCAGAAAAGATCCTAAACTTGTTTTAAAAAAATATTAGATTAATTTATATGTCTGAAGCCTTTTCTTAGTTATTTTTTAATGTTATGCAGTGAACTGAGCTAATACTACTGCTAATGTGTTACTTTGAATAGACCGATATTCTCTTGCAATGAAAAAAAATAAACTTCCTGTTATGAAAACATTCAGTTGTATTAACAACTATTCTTGTGTCTGCTTTTAGAACCGATCTTACAACTTACATCAAAACCTTCCGAGCTCAGAAAAAAGGGTTGACTGGAATGTCATGCATGGAGATTTAAATATACAAATAACCTTTCCATAATTCAGGAAAAAAATGTTATCACAATCCATCCTAAATGGGATGAGTATAATAAAAAAAAACATAACACGAAAGGTGCATGATTGTTGTACATAAACTTACTATGCTCCAATCAAGGATTCAATTTGCCTTGGTGGACACAACAGATAGCTCAATGTGGTTTTGCTATCAGTAAATAAACTGTACTGATCATCTGTTTTATTTGATCCCGAGGATGGTATTTTCTCTTGTAGTTGCACGTTGAATGCATTCTTACAAAATGTTACTCCTATGAATTAGAGTAGTAAACAGAATAATTCTTTCTTTCTTTCACTACATAAATTATGCTTCTACCAGAAGATACTAGCATCAATAAAGTTTAGTGGTAATTAGCTACTACTTACTTTCATACCATGCTCTTGGAAGGATTTTTCAATTTCACTGCTAACACAAGCAACAATGGTATCAAGGTAACAGTTTAATATTTAATGGAGTATTGTTACGTGTTCGTGGTATTAGTTATGGATGTTGATATAACGAGCACGTCTTAATCACAAATTTATTCCCCTGCTGACTGCCAGCAGGGTACTTCACTGTACCTCGTGGGCTGTTAGTTAAAGAGCCCTGCTGTGTGAGATGTGCATGACAAGGGAAGTATCTAGCAGAAGTTTTAATATTCAACATGATGAGAGAAGTTATGCTTAATGAATTACACAGTTAAATCCTACTTACATTTAGTTTGTAGAATTTCAATGTAATTAAAAAAACTAACTAGAAAGTAATACATGTATAAAGACATCAAAACACAGCTTTTAGCCCATTTTACTGGAATATGTGCACCTGCAGGACAAACCAGCTGAGAATCATGTTACTTTCCAACATCAACATTTATTCAAGAATTACACAGGTTATTAAATTGTTTTCAATATAAGTTATAAGACATCATATTGTTTGTAAAGATGCAGAGTAAAATATTTCTGGTTGACCTACTCCTAATCTCTTTTCAACCTTACCCTCTATAAAAAATGGTTGAATAGTTATACAGTTTTAAGTTAGGATTCAACCATTTTTCTGCAAAACACCTATCTTATTGTCTTCTCCTCCTGCTCTGTCAAGAATCATTTGTCTTTTAACGTGATCTTATTTTAATAAATTATAAAACTATTACTGCCATTATTTTTTTTTTTAAGTTAAGAATAAACACTAGTAACAGTCAATAATTTATCATAATATTGAAGTTAAAACCTAAGGATTTCAAAGTTTAATGCAAAAGGTGTGTATATGCAATTAGCTTCGACCATCACGAGTTCCTGCGATGTTAAAGCCCATTTCTGCATCCAAACCACCAAGATCCAGTGGACTTGACCAACCAACAGTGGCATGGGCCTACCCTAAAATCCAACAAACATGCTGGGCTGGTAAAAATCCAGAAGATAACACATGTGCCATCTGTTTAGAAGATATAGTTCCACAGTCAATCAAAAAAGTGAACTGTGGACATGCATTCCATACTAAGGCAAGTACTTGAAAGAAAACAAGCTGCTTGTTGACTTTTATTTTGAAGGAATCGTCCATTCACAACTCTGCCCATTTTCTTAATATTTTGAATAAAATTCAATTTTTCTTTTTATATTATCTTCAATCCTTTCATGACCAGGCTTTATTAATGAAAAATAAAATATTTTTATATAATCTATAGAAGAAATGGTGTCCAAAAAGTCTGGAACCATAGGAACTTCAACAAATTTTACATGCTGTTCTTATGAATTGGATTAAGTAGACCTTCCCATGCTTTGACAGCACTGCAATCAGTCACCCATTGTTCCAGACTTTTTGGACACTGTAGAAACTTGGTTAATGATGTATTTTCTCATCTTTTAGTGTATTCAAGATTGGCTGGTAAAACAGAGTACTTGCCCCAGTTGTCGTATTTACGTTGTTCTTGAAGAAGAGTTCCCATCTTTAAAGTAGAAGAGTTGTGGATTCTATGTGTTTGCTTTTTGTCTCACCAGGTGGAGATCATATATATATTTGAAAAGTGATTTTAATGAGCATATATCTTTTTAAATTCTCCATTAGAGTATTTAACAAAAAATATTCAAATATTTTTCACATACCTTCAATAATAGTGATTGATGTACAATAAAAAGTAATTTTAAATGTCATAACACTTCAGCTTAATAATCAAGCATCTTGGTTTACTTAATCACGTGTTAATGGGATGTTTGAAATGACAAAGATAAACTTTATTCCGTATTACTTGTGTTTTATAATGGACCAGAACTTAGCAGATGGATTATCATTGACGAAGATGTTGATAGCAGAATGCCAATCTTTATAAAAAGTTTTAAATAGCAGTTGATAATTTATTTTGTGGCTGTGATACATGGTTTAAAAAACAAAACCTAACCACCAGTATCATTAATTTTGTTTATTGTGAAGAAGATACAGTTGGAAACTAAGACCTGGTGACAATCTTTTAGAGCACAGTACAAACATCATCGTTCTTAGACCTCCAAAACCAAACTCAAAAAAATTTTTCTACAAAAATATCAGATTCTAATGACATACAATATTAAGTATCCCAGCATCACTTCTTAAAGTAATTAAGCTTCAGTATTTTTACAAAATATGCTGATTTCGCTATTGGTTTAAAAACAAAGATATGCACGAAGCTTAAGTATTAATTAAGGTATGCAAAGATTCCACATGCCTGGTTTATTTTTTTACTTGAGAACAGCTTTATTGTTAAGTAATTAATATCCATCTCTTGTTAAGTATACTTTTAGGTTTAGGCCTAAAATGGAGCTATCAAATAAAAATTGTTGAAACTTTTAGTGTCTTTATTCTTGTTTCTTTACATGGACAACACATTTAGGAATGATTGCATTCCTAACTTATCCCCCTTTGTATTTGACAATTAAACTCCATCTACTGCTACTTTTTACTATTGAACAAAGTTATTCAAAAATTATGTACGTTGTAATTAAATTTGATATAACTATACCTTGCTACTACTATCTACGAGTGAACAGTTCTAACTGAAGCTTCCTAAAGTGTGTACCTGATATCCTTCCATACGACCATATTGATTATTTTTGCTTTTGAGAGAGTATTAAAAACAAAATCACTCACAATGTCAATTCCAAACCTAAGCCTAGTAAGACAGTTTACTCATGAATAATAAACTGATACAGGCATTGTGTAGAAGTAGTTTAAAATAAATCGGAACCAGCAAGCAATTACAAAATTAAGTAGCCTTTCGATTCCGATGTGTACACAAGTACATCAAAACTGATAGATTATACGAACAATTAACTTCGTAAATGGCACCTTACAAAACATCTACAGTACTGTCAAACCTTTCTTTCATAACCTACCTGAGGATCTATTGTAAAGAAAAGAACAGGATACCCAATTGCTAACTAAATACAAACTAATCACAAGATTTTATTCCTTTTAACAAGTATGTTGTAGATATTAATTTATCAACCCAATTATTAGTCTTCTGAAACTCAGCTAAATAATAACTTGTTTGTTTGTTTTCACCTCTTACCTAAGATGCTGGACTTGGTTTAATATCTTGTCACTGCAATAATATTTTTTTAAGTAGTTTTCTAAATATATATTAGTTATCAATCAATAAATTTAATTTTTTTTTTCTTTTAGCACGCCTAGTTTACAAAGACATAATTAAGAAAATCCAAAACTTACTTCATATTTTCTGGCACAGCTTGTAATATAGTTCTGTTCTAACTTTGTACAACAAAAACATTAAGAAATAAAATTTACAACTATAAAGATATAAAAAACAAAAAAAAAGTATTTTATTACAAGTTAAAACTTTTACAGTAAGTTTAATTTGTATTTAGAACAGGTATGACATTTTGATCACTGGTGCGATCATTCTCAACTACACAAGTTTTAAAGGTAAAGAATGAATCGGTATTTAAATCTTCTCTTGTATGTTTAACAACTCCTGTAGATTTAACGATATATCGGATGTCTATAAACATTTAATATACAAGGTGTGTGTGTGTTTGTCTGTAATCTTAGATGTTAATTTTATATTTTTTCTTGTGGTATTCAAGTTTACTAAGAATTTTACATAACTGTGTAAACATAATACAAAAAAAACCACTAGTTAATGTATTGTCCAATCTGTATGTAGATTTTGTGGTAGTCTTGTTTCAAGGTCAAGGATCTAAATTCATTACCTGGACAGATAAATAAAATGCCTGGGAAATCGGACATGATTTATAAAGTTGTGGCAGTTCTAACTACAGTATGTCATGGTTGGTAATAAAATACTGGTAAGTGGTAATATTTTTTGAATTTGAGATGAATGTATTTGTTAATAGTTTCGTTTTGAATTTACTTACTGATTAAGTATATTTTATTACAGGTTTACAGCTTTTACAGTAAGTACGATTTGTATTTAGAACAGGTACAGCATTTCGATCATTGGTATTAGATTTTTTAATGTTAAAAAAAAAGGTTTGTAACACAATTACTAACTGAACGTGTGCTTCTAATGGTGTAAAGCATGTTACGATTCTTTTTTACTCACACTTCAAATACTACCACAAAACACTACTATAATACCACATAAAACTGTTCTATGTAGCACATACGAACTGCTGATATACCAGTATGTTTAATGCAATGTACTGTTTTTGTGATTCAAGCAGTAGGTTAAGACAAACTGATTATGGGATCAAGTCCAATTACGAAAAAGAAATGTTAAATTTAATTCTGGGACTCAAAATACTTGTAAGTGGGGTTTTCGTAACCATTAATTTGCATGTTAGACACGTGTCTTTCCTCAGGGGTTGCTGCTTGGTTCACTTCCACAAACCCCTGACCTTGTGGTGACTGACTGGAATGACGTCGCAAAAGCACAATTCCGACAACTAAGGCAGTCAGGAGGGCAATGCCTGCAAATGCCAAGGTGATATAAACACTTCCATTCCATCTTAAGTCTCTGATTCCTTCCTTTCGAACAGAGAAGGTCTACAGACGGAACAAGAAAACAATTACAAACAAGTTTAGTAGATATAAGTTTACATTCCAACTTAACAGAACTATCTGGGTTAGAACTTTACTGTTGTAAGAATGATGGTGAACATGAATCAGATCAAGAAATGTTGACAATATTTATTAAAAAAAAGAAAAGCTTAAGGCTTTGAAGATAAAAGAGACTGGGTTGACAACTCAGTCAAAATATGATACAGGATCTAACAAATTACGTTATTTTGAGTATTTACTCAACTAATGTGAAATTACTACTAATAAAAATGGAGATAGATAGGAATGATGACATTCCTTCCAATACCTTGTATGACAAAAAAAATCTGAAATTCCTATGATCTAAAATCTGATCTGTAAATAAAAAAAAAATATTTTAAGACTTTCTAGTGAAAGTAAAAGTTTTTAGAACGAACACTGAATAAGGCAGAGTTAAAAAAGAATATAAGCTACAAGCTATGTTAAAACAATCTTAAGCTGATAGCTTATCTTTTTAACCAAACTAAAGTTAACCCCTTTCCAGCCCGCTATCTCATTTTTCAAGAGGGCACACCACAATAGTAAGTTACGAAAATAATGTCTGATCGCCCACCTCTGAAATCATCTTCAAAATATAACTAACCAAAATGTTCATATTTACAATTTTATTAACGTGTTTGTTTTTGGTTAATGAAAAATTGCAAACATCAATGTTGATTCTCTAATTGTTATTTGTATTTAGGGAGTGAAAATATGTAAACCTCCCACTTGTATGGATAACTTTGAAACAAATGAAAAGCAAATCTGTGGCTTCTGTACATGTTTGCTGCTAATTTCTAGCATAAGGAGATCGAAAACAGGGAAATTTTGAAGTTGGTAATGTCAAAATTAAACATCTACTAACTGCACTTATATTAAACTGTATAAAATCTTAAGTTTACCATCATAAAGATATTTTATTTTTCACATGCCATGTGCTGTAGAGCCTCCTTTATTCTCTATTGAGTAATAAACATCAATACTTAAATTGTTAATTCACATGTTCAAGAAATGCACTGTGCTATTTATCAAACTATAGAGTTCTATTTTCACAATGTATCATTTCACACTTACCACTTCATTATGGTGAAGAGGTTGGTTCTGGGCATGGGCTACGTGTGGTTCTGGTAAGTCGTTGTGCTCTTCAAGGACTGGGACTTTATCCATTTTGCTGTGGTCCACGAATGCAGGATGATTTATTTCAGAAACCAAACTCTCATCTTCCATAGATTCGGGATCAAACTCTTTTTCTAACTTCCCACCGTGATTCTTTTCGACAAGTAACTTCTCCCTCTCGAGTTCTTCAAGTTCTTTTTGTTTTCTTTCTTCCTCTAATCGCTTCTGTTTTCGTTCTACATAAGAATTTTTACAATGGACATATAGTCACAATTTAACTCAAGAAGATTAGCAGAGCAGGTTCTAAACTAGTGTTCTGGTAATGAACTGAAACTGCATGTTTGTTAGGGATTCTCCAAACACACGGGACTTCAAGCTTGGCTGAAATAATCAAATATGGATCCCATCCGATGCTACAGATCTGCATTCTTTTAGAAAGACTACACTTTTCTTAGTAAAACTATCTATTTCTAAAATTATCTATTAAAACTAAGTAAAAGTGACAAAATCCATTGATATAAATGGTCTCAAAACAATACATGCACACATAGAATGGAAGTATCGCTTTCAAAATGCACTTTATAATAGAGATTTATCGGTACCTTCTCGTTTCTTCTCCACTTCAGCTTGATACTGTTTGAGAATGGCTTCATCAGTTTCTGTGGAAAAGGCAGCATCCGGTGTAACTCCTTTCAAGTCTATCCAGGCAGCCACTGAAAATAAATTTCATTTTAAGATAATAATAATGAGCTACAAAATAAAAGCATCTGCACTATAATGTTACAAGTAATCATAGTTGAACATTACAAATGTACACCAATCTTTAACATAATGAGTCTACTGGTACAACTACGTAGGAAAGTACTGGATATTAAATTAAATCAAGTTAAACTTAATGCTTATTAACACTAATTTGCCCACTAGTAACAAAGTAAATCTAGAGACTAGACCACTGTCCAAGTTTTTCACTCTAGACAAACACCACCGTCAACATTATTATTGTCCAAGTTTGCAAACTAGAATTAAATTAATTTTTTTTTAACTTCGAAAGTTTTAGCCATATCTTTTAAACAATGCAAGTGACCAACTATATCTAGCAGTACAATTCCACAGAATTTAAATGTTAGATTATTCTGTTTATTTTTTACTGAATGCTAAAAGGAAATCATACAAACCTAGCAATAAAAAAGTTGGAAATGGTTAAAAAAAAATTTTTCTTCAATATTCATTCACTGAAGTTAAATCATTATAAATATGATGTGGCTAATCATTATGGACTTCTTTTTTAAATGGAAAATGGGTATGGTTTGATAAAAAGTTCAATATTGTTAACATTTTCAAAACATGATCCAGTATTAAAATTGTTCAGACATCTGTTTCAACTTCACTGACCAGTGACAAACTCCGAGTCACTGTGTAATACAGGAACAAATAACTTTAAGTTTCATTGGCTTCAAATTGTTTTGAGAGTTAATGTGAAAGATTATGATTGGAAAATAATATTATATTGACTTGTCATCAGATTTCTAACTTAAATCATTAACAAATGAAGTAATAAATTCTGATATAATTAACCTTCTCAGACCCCAATCATATTATTTAACTGAGTACGAGTGTGTACACATTGAAAAGAAAACATGTTATAACTTTATTACAATTCCCATACGACGACATAGTAAATACCCTGCTTTACTGAAGAATTCTCCACTCTTATATTCAGTGCAACTAGTTGATAAGATCTTTTAAGCATAAAAAATTGGAATAAAAAAAAAAAACACATTTTTGTAACTAAACAATGTATACACCATTTTTCTCATTTCTGTTATCTAACTTTAGTACATT